CGAGGGCCGGGGGGCGGGGTCGCGGGCGGCCGGGGGGCGGGGCCGCAGGCCGGGACCGAGGCGCCGTCTAGCGCTGCGCCTGGCGGGCGTAGCGAGACTGGGGGCGCGGCCCAGGCCTCCCCCTGGCGGCGGCTCGAGCTCCCCACAGCCTTCGAAGAGCCCAGCTCTCGAGGGCCCTTCTGAGGATGAGGACCGGACTCCGGATCCCAAGTTCGCGGTCGTGTTCCCCAGGATGCACAGGACCGGGAGGGAGTCGAGCAGTCGGAGCTCAGAGGAAGCGTCCGCGGACGCCCCAGCCCGGGGGGGACGCGTTTGGCCTTGTGAAGGGGCTTCGGGGGACAGGGAGGGGCGCAGGGCGAGTGGAGAAAGTGTGGCCGGGCCCCGCCGGGGCTCTCTCCTCGGCCCTGCTCCCCGCGACGAGTCCCCACTGGACGAGAGCGGCTCCAGCAGTGAAGCGCGGCCGGAAACCTTGGAGGCCGAGGCTCCGGTCCACTGGACTCAGAGCTCAGAACCCCGCGAGGACCCCGGACTTGACACCGACGACGCGCTGCTGCCTCGACTCACCTTGGAGACCCACCTGCGGTGGGAGAGAAGCCCGGGCCCCTGCGGGCCTCCGAGGGGGCGGTGGGTGCCAGACGATGAGGCTGAGGAGGCGCTGGAGAGGGACCTGGAGCTGAGCCTCGGGCCGGGCCTGGAGGTACCGCCCTCCCTGGGAGCGGAGGGCAGGAGCCTTGCGGAAGGCCTGGAAGACACGGACGACCTGGCTCGGCTGCGGTGAGCAGGCGCAATTCCAAACCTGTCCTGTCTGGGTCAGAGTTCCTCATATGTCACCCCTACCTCCATTTTTGTAAATTGTATCCTTAGACGGTATTGTAACTTACAAAAGGTCTTCCCGCGGGAAGAGGCGGGTGAGGGGTGAAAATCAGGTGTCCCCCCCCCCCCCGGGAGTTTCTTCTCTAACTGGCACAAAGCTGCCCTCTGGGTCAGCGGCCTGGTCCTGCTTGTAGCCCCCATGGAGCGGGTAACTCACTGAGCAGCCACACCCCTGTGTTATGGTCGGGGGCTCAGGGAGGATGCACGACTTGCCCAAAGTATCTCTCCATCCGGTGACAGGGTGACAGCGCTAGCTAACCTAAGACCTCCTTCTGCCCACCGCACCCCCATTCCCTGCCTCTCCCTCCTGCTGTCCCCACAGACCAGTGTGTAACAGCTCTGTGCTGCTGTGCCTCAAGAAGAGGTTTCACCTGGGCCGAATCTACGTACGGGGGCACCTGGGGAGGGTGGGTGGGCTGGGATTGCCTGTCCCCTGGGATCAGAGGGCTCTCTGGCACTTCTAGAACTTCTCCTTCCTTCTCCTCCCTGGGCTGGGTGCTGAACCTTCTCTGGGGACCTGCAGAGCGGGGGGGGGGGGGGCGGGGGGGCTGGGCTGCACAGCAGCCCCACTACATTTGTAGCCCCTGCTTCCTCCATGCTGTGACGACAGCATCTGTTTTTTTTCCCAGACATTTGGGGGACCCTTTCTGCTCTCCCTGAACCCCCGCCGGCCCCTGCCTCTCTTCTCAGCTGAGGTCCTGGCCAGCTACCACCCCAAGAAGGCCCTTAACACCACCCCGTACGTGCCTTTGCCCCCATCAACCCTCTGCTCACCCCCTGGGCGGCTAAGCCCCAGCATGTGCCACTGATTGAGATCCTGGGAGGACCGAGGGCATGTCCTGCCTACATGTAGGAGGGCCCAAATGCCCATCTCTGGCAACCTCATTTGCTCCCACCCCCTTCCCTCAGACACATCTTCGCCACTGTGGCGTCAGCCTATCGCTTGTCTCAGAGCACTGGGCAGGGCACATGCATTCTCCTCGGGTGAGCGGTGGGGCCCTGCTGAACCTACGGGCCACTCTGAGGGCTGGGAGGCAGGGACGTGGGGGTCTGCATTTGAAGCTGTTGGCCTGGTGCCCTGCTGGGTGGCACCGCTGGACTTTGTAAGGGCTGTGCTCCTGGCTGAAGTCACTGCACATGCCCCTTGACTGTGGCCTCTTGGCATCATCCTTCTCCTTGGTCTCCATGCCCTGGGTCTACCTTTCCACATTTCCGGGGGTAGGAATCACTTTCAGGTGGGCATGCCCCAGTTCCTGGGCTCCATGGGGTGTCCTATGTGCCCCTTCCTGAAAACCCTGTCAGCCCCTCCCTCCCACAGTGGGCACAGTGGCTCAGGGAAGACAGAAGCTGCCAAAAAGATTGTGCAATTCCTAAGCAGCCTGGAGCAGGAGCAAACAAGGGACAGAAGATGTCAGGTGAGAGGCAGCTGGGCATTTCCCAGGGTCCAAGAGGAACCATCCTTCTCCTTTGAGCCAGGTGGGCGGTCTTCAGGCCTCTGGCTTCTCCTTGGGGGCAGCCCCAGGCATTGCCTCCTGGAGGGCAGGGTGAGGTGGGGTGGGACTGACCCTCTCCAAGGACGAGCACAGCCCCTAGGCACAAAGTATCCTCAGCTGGGATGCCTGATCATGGACGCGGCTACCATTCCTGGGGATACTTGAGTGCCCCTCCCCCATGCAGCTGGACGGTGTGCTGCTGATGCTTCGCAGCTTTGGCCACGCCAAAACAGTCCTCAATGCAAACGCCAGTCGCTTCGGCCAGGTCTTGCGTCTCTGCCTGCAGCGGTGAGTTAAGGGGGTCCTGGTGGGCACAGGGGGGCACCCACGATCAGTTCCCTTTACTGGGAACCAGAGGCTGCTGCCCTTGGGTCCAGCCCATAGTGGGTCCCATTCTGAGCAGGGCCCCTGGGTCACATGCACCCTGGGCACCCCCCGCCCACTGTCCCGTGCCCACAGTGGGGTCATCGTGGGAGCTTCTGTGTCACATTATCTGCTGGAGGCCTCGAGGGTGGTGTTTCAGGTAAGACCCGTGCTGCTGCTCGCCTCTCTCCAGAGTGGGAGAGGGAGAGGGGCCATGCAGGGAGTGTGGTTGCTAACCCCCTTGCCCCCCCCCCCCCGCATCCCTGCCTTTCCCAGGACTTGTCCTTGCTCCCCTGAGGCACAGGACCAGAGCCCTGCTCCCCCTAAGCCAGTCCTTCTCCCCAAGGCCCAGGCTGAACGGAGCTTCCATGTTTTCTACGAGTTGCTGGCGGGGCTGGACCCTGTGGCACGGGAGCAGCTCTCCCTACAGGGGCCAGAGACCTACTACTACCTGAACCAGGTGGGGGTGGGGCTTGCCTGGGGAAAGGTCTGGGAGCAGGGGTCTAAGGAGTGGCCGGAGTGGAGGGAAGCTATGGGCTGTCAGGCCCTGCCCCCTCACCCCTGCTCCCTCACCCCTGCTGTGCTCTGCAGGGCCAGGCCTGCAGGCTCCAGGGCAAGGATGATGCCCAGGACTTCGAAGGACTTCTGAAGGCCCTGCAGGTGCTGGTCACGCGCCCTGAGGAGCTGACTGCAGCCTGGGCCATGCTGGCCGCCATCCTGCAGCTGGGCAACGTCTGCTTCTCCTCTTCAGAGGTGGGCTCCCGCTGTGGCCAGAGGCCAGTCTGGACGCGGCTTGTTTGCACGGTCAGGGCAGCCATGATACCGAATACCTGTGGGCCTCCCTCCAGGCCTCATGGCTGCCCTGGGAAGCAGGCGGGTTCGTTGTGTAGATGCGAGAACAGAGACCTGGGTCGTCTATGCCAGTGCCACCAAGCTGCCACCCTGGAAAGGGAGAACTGCACTGAGTAGCTCCTATGTACCTGGCTCCGTCTAAATCACTTTATATATTTGTTTTCTTTTTCTAATTGTTTTGAAATGCTTATTTATTTTAATATAATTTATTGATTAATATACAGTGTGCTCTTGGTTTTAGGGGAGTGTTTATTTTTGAGAGAGAGAAAGAGAGAGAGGGACAGACACAGTATGAGCGGGGGAGGGGCAGAGAGCGACGGAGACACAGAATCCAAAGCAGGCTCCAGGCTCCCAGCTGTCAGCACAGAGCCCCGCATGGGGCTCGAACCCATGGACCGTGAGATCGTGACCTGAGCTGAAGTCAGACGCTTAACTGACTGAGCCCCCCAGGCGCCCCTCTATCTGTGTTCTAATTCGGTTCTCACGACAACGCTGGAACTTAGGGTCGTTGTTTCCCGTTTAACAATAAGACAGTGGAGACTCAGAGGAAAAGTCCTGCCAGAGCCAGCCAGCTAGTGAAGAAGTAAAATTAGGACTCGCACTCAGGGCCCCCAGGCTCCAGAGTCGGCTCCTACCTGCCCGGAGCTACCTGTGGGATGTGGCCATTCCCCCGCAGAGCTGTTCCTGTTCCCTCCCTTCTCTGTCCAGTGGGAGTCCCAGGAGGTGGCTGCTGTGTCCAGCTGGGCCGAGATCCACACGGCAGCCCGGCTGCTGCTGGTGCCACCAGAGCGCCTGGAGGGGGCTGTCACCAGGAAGGTCACGGTGAGCCCCGGGGCTCCTCAGGAGGCAGGGCCAACCCCCACCACCCGCAGGCTTGGCATGGGCCCGTGTCAGCCTCAGTCAGACCTGATGTTCTGCATCTACCTACCTCCCCTGCTCTCCAGGAGACAGCCTATGGCTGGGTCTGCAGATCTCTGCCGGTGGAAAGCGCCATTGATGCCAGGTGGCCCCAGGGGCGGGAGAGAGCTATAGCCGGGCCCAGCTCGCTACTGCACTGGCTCACTCACCACGCCCACAGGGACGCCCTGGCCAAGGCCCTGTATTCACGGCTTTTCACTTGGCTTCTGGGGAGGACCAACGCGCAGCTGGCACCACCCAGGGAGGGAGAGAGCATGGACACCGTCACCGTCGTGGACGTCTATGGCTTTGAGGTCACCCCTTGGGGTGGGGCCCAGGACCGGGTGCCCACCTCATCCTGATCATTTCTGGGGTCAGCTCTCCCTGAGGGTGGCACTCGTGAGCTCTTGCCTGCCTAGCCACGAGACAGGACACAATCCATGGGTGTGGCCTTTCTGCCCTGCTCGGTCCAGCCCTGATATCGCTTCTGGAGAGTTCTGTCCTGCTCGGCCTTGCTGAGTCTCACAGGAGCCTCTAAGGCAGCCGGGAAGGCACAGGCCCTAGAATGGGTCTCACCTCCTGTGCACCAAGAGGAGCAGGAAAAGGGACGGTGCCCTGAATGGCCCTGAGTTTTCATAATCAGGGAGGAGGGGGCTTGGGCAAGAGGAGGTGGCGTCTTTCCCTGGTCGGGCACTGTTCACTGCTCCCTGCTCTCTCGTCTCCAGCGTGCCCTGGGGGACCATGCCCTCTCTGAGCAGGGGATGTTTGTGGCAAGTGTGGGTTCTTGTGTGTGTGTTAGAGCGTGGCAGGGCTCTCCGTACAAAGCTGCGTGGAGCGGGGGCTCTTCCGGGCTTGTGAGTGAAGTGCTGGGGGGCACAGAGGAAGGAGCCTGTAATCCTTATGGGAGGAATGCTGGAAGGTTTCCTGGAGGCAGCAGCCTGAGGCCCTGTTTATGAGGATGTGGGATTCTGAGAGCCAGCGAGCTACTGGGCCATAGGAAAAGGCACCTTCCAGGCCACAGGATGGCTATGACCAGAGGCCTGGAGGCTCACAGTTGTGCTGAGGCAGAGGGAAGGGTGTGGACTGAGGCGTGGGCACACTCTGTGCCTAGGCCTTTGGACTTGACCCTGGAGGCTGCAGCATCAGCCCCCGGGCACCACTCCTCCTTGAGTTCTGGGAGGAGAATGAAGGACACCAGGCCCATGTGCAGCACCGCCCCTCACGGCACCTGCCCCATGCCCCCACCTTGTGCGGGTGCCCACCTCACTGCCCACATGCCCCTAGGCCCTGCGGGTGAATGGCCTGGAACAGCTGTGCAATAACCTTGCCAGCGAGCGCCTGCAGCTCTTCACCAGGCAGACGCTGCTGGCCCAGGAGGAGGTAAGAGGAGCTGGGCCTGGCGGTGGGAGGGGGCACCCAGGCATTCCCAGAGCAGAGGCCATCCTTGGGAAACCGAGGGCGCTGAACTGAGAGCCCTGCCCCAAAGCACCCCCTGCTGTGGGCCATCTCAGCCTTCCTGGGCCTCATTTTACTCATCTGTACAATGGGAGAGCCACCCCTACTCTGGCTCCGATGAGCTCCCCCATGAATGTGGGCATGCCCTGTGACTGGCCCAGTGCTGGCTGTTCCCAGGAGGCCTGTCAGCGAGAATTGCTGCCCTGGGTGCCCGTTCCCCAGCCTGTGAGGGAGACCTGCCTGGACCTCCTCGTAGACCAGCCCCACAGCCTCCTGAGTATCCTGGATGCCCAGACATGGCTGTCCCAGGTGAGCCCCCAGTGGTAAGGACAAGGTGGGGGCCCTAGTGGCCAGGCCAAGGCCATCAGGGTCTCCCAGAGGAGCAAAAAGGTGATGGGGTCCAGAAACCCTGCCTATAGCCTCTCAGCAGAGCTTGGGAAGGCAGTGGGCAAACTAGGTTCAAATCCTGTCTCTGGGTGACCTTGAGCAAGATACCTGACCTCTCTGGGGTTCTTCAAGTCCTTGCTGCAGAAGGGGCAGGGTGGTGGCGACTGCACAGGGCCTATGTGGGGCCTATAGGGGTCCCTCAGGCCTCCAGCTAGTAGAGGGCAAGCCTCAGGGCTGTGGTACAGCCATTCCACAAATACTGATGGACCCGGAAGGGATGCACAGTCCAGGCAGGGCGACGTCACGTGCAAAGGCCTGAGGAAAGCTCATCCCTCTTATCAGGCCACAGACCACACCTTCCTCCAGAAGTGCCACTATCACCATGGCAGTCACCCCTGCTATGCCAAGCCCCAGCTGCCCCTTCCTATCTTCACCGTGAGGCATTACGCTGGGACCGTCACCTACCAGGTATCAGGGTAAATCAGAGACAGACTCCCGTGTGAATCAGTGGTGTCTGCTCCCCAGAACTGAGTCACCAGACAGGTAATAGGTGAGGGGAGGCCCCTTCGAGGGCTTGACTGTTAGGTTTCTACCTGTGCCCTCGGCGCTACGCAGTGTTTTCTTTTTTAAAAAAATATTTTTTGAAGTTTATTTATTCATTTATTTATTTAGACAGGGAGGGGCAGAGAGAAAGGGAAAGAGACTCCCAAGCCCGATGCAGGGCTTGAACTCACGGAACTCAGGAACCGCGAGATCGTTACCTGAGCCCAAACCAGAAGTCCAACAGTCAACTGACTGAGTCACCCAATGCTACACAGTTCTGAGCGTGACTTACTTACCTCAGGCTGAGCACGATGGGGTAGAGGCAGTGGAGGCCTTGGGAGCCTTAAGACCAGGAAGGGCAGAGCAGGCGTGTGGGACCTGGCTCTGATAACCTCAGGCTGTCTGCTCCTCCTTTTTTTTTTTGTAATGTTTGTTTATTTTTGAGAGACAGAGCACAAGCAGGGGAGGGGCAGAGAGGGAGGGAGACACAGAATCCGAAGGAGGCTCCAGGCTCTGAGCGGTCAGCACCAAGTCCAACGCAGGGCCCGAACCCATGAACCGTGATTTCATGACCTGAGCTGAAGTGAGACACTTAACAGACTGAGCCGCCCAGGCGTCCCTCTGCTTCTCCTTCTGAGCCTTCATTCTCTCAACTGTAAAATGGGAGTGGGAATCTGTCCTATAACATTGTTGTGAGGATTGAATGCAATAATGTGGAAATGGTCAGGCAGCTGCTAGGTGCCCACCAAAGGCACCCTCCTTTCCCCCTTCTGAGTTTCACAGAGGCTGGGTAGGGGCCTGGTATATAAAAGGTAGGACCATGTGACTTGTTTGAAGTAGGGCAAGTCAGGGAAGGCTTCCTGGAGGGAGTGGCATGCTTTGGTTGTAGAAGAAAACACAAACTATCCAAGAGTTACACAAACCCAAGGGACTTATGTCAATTATACCTCTCCCCGCCACCCCCCAAAAAGCCAATCATGTCTGGGGAAAAAAAAAAAAAAGAAACACAGGGAGATTGAATAGAGAAAAATCACAAACTATATTGAAACTCACAAAAGAAAATCTGAAAAAAGAGGGTCAAACCACATTGCTGGTGGGGAGCCCTAATACCGTTCCTCCTTTCTCAGTTAATCTAGAAAAGCAATACAATTCCAGACAATACCCCAGTCGGGTTCTTATGGGAGGAGGAGGAACGAATTTTGACAAAATTATTCTGAAGTGTTAGCTGGAAAAGCATTGCGTGAGAATAGCCAATAAAATAATGAAAAGCAGAAGGTTAGAGAGGAATTTGCTCTACCAGATATTAAAACATAGTCATTGAAAGAGTATGGTGTTGATAAGGAACAGAGCCATCAATGGAACAGAATTGTTCCAGATAAGTGAGATCTTAGTGTGTGTGTGCATGCGCGTGCACGCACACACACACACACACAGTGCTTTTGTGTCTGACTTCTTGCACTAAGTATGATATTTTCCCAAGGTTCATCTATATTGTAGCACGTGTCTGATTTCCTTCCTTTCCATGGCTGAATGATAATCCGTTGTATGGATGGACCACATTTCACGTATCTGTTCATCAGTTGATGGATACTTGAGTTTCGGCTTTTTTGGCTTCTGCGAATAACGCACGGCTGTGCGAGTCTCTATTCGAGTCTCTGCTTCCAATTCTCTTGCAGTATGTATCTAGGAGTGGAAGACCTGGGTCAAAAGTAGTTCTAGGTTTACTTTTTTTCAAGGAGCCGCCAAACTGTCTTCCTCAATGGCTGCACCATTTCATATTCCCATGAGCAGCGCGTAAGAGCTTCGGTTTGTGTCCTTGCCAGCACTTGTTATGTTCCATTTTTAAATTTTTTATTTTTTTAAGTTTATTTATTTGTTTTGAAAGAGAGCATGAGCTTGAGCTGGGGAGGGGCAGAGAGAGAGAGAGAGAGAGAGAGAGAGAGAGAGAGAGAGAGAGAATCCCAAGCAGGCTCCACACTGTCATCGCAGAGCCGGACGCAGGACTAGAATTCACAAACTGTGAGATCATGACCTGAGCTGAAATCAAGAGTCAGATGCTTAACCAACTGAGTCACCTGGTGCCCCCTTATTTTCCATTTTTTAAAATGATAGTCCTCCTAGTGGGTGTGAAATGGTGCCTCACTGTGGTTTTGATTCATGTTTCCCCAATGGCTCATGGTGAGAATCTTTTCATGTGCTTCTTGGCCAGTTGTGTGTCTCATCTGGAGAAGTATCTATTCAAGTCCTTTGCCCGTTTTCGAATTGAGCCGTTGTTGTTGTTGTTGGGTGTAGGAGTTCTTTATATAATCTGCATATTAATTCCTTACCTGGTACATGATATTTTCCCCTATTCTGTGGGTTGTCTTTTTGTTCTGTTATCTTTTGAGGGGCACCTGGCTGGCTTAGTCCATTGAGCGTCTGACTCTTGATTTCCACTCAGATCATGATCCCAGGGTCTTGAGATCAAGGCCTGCATCAGAGGTGCACTGATCGTGGAGCCTGCTTAAGAGTCTCTCTCTTTCCACCTCTGCCTCTTCTCCCTGCCTTGCACATGCACGTATGCACTCTGTCTCTCAAATAAGAATAAATAAATAAAACAAAAATGTCTTTTGATGCACGAAAGTTTTAGTTTTTAAATTAATTAATTAACTTATTTAGTCATCTCTAAACCCAACATGGGGCTCGAGCTCACAACCCCGAGATTAAGAGTCATATGCTCCACCGACTGAGCCAGCCAGGTGCCCCACAAAAGTTTTTAATTTTGATGAAATTCAGTGCATCTATTTTTTTTTTCTTGCCTGTGCTTTTGGTGTCCTATTCAGCAAATCATTGCCAAGTCCAATGTCAGGAAGCTTCTCCCTGTGTTTTCTTCTAAGAGTTTTAGAGTTCTAGGAGTTCTAGGTCTTACATTTAGATCTTGTTTTTTTTTAATTTTACTTATTTATTTTGAGAGAGAGCAAGCGGGGGAAGGGGCAGAGAGAAAAGGAGAGAGAGAATCCCAAGCACGATCCACGCTGTCAGCACAGAGCCATACGTGGGGCTCGAACTCACAAACCGTGAGATCATGACCTGAGCTGAAATCAAGAGTCTGGCGCTTAACCGACTGAGCCACCCAGGCTCCTCTTAAATTTAAGTCTTTGATCCATCCACTCATTTTGGGTTAATTTCTATATCTGGTGTGAGATAAGAGCCCAGGTCCATTCATTTGCCTGGGGATTTCCAGTTTTCCCAGAGGCTCTAGTTGAAGAGACAAAGGAGGCCCTTTCGCTCAGTGGGGAGAGGCTGGGTTATGTCACCAAGACCCCAGCCTCCACCCCAGCCTCCCTCCTTGGCTTCCCCTCCGCTCCCCACATTGTCTCTTGCAGGTTCACAAGTTTGTGGACAGAAACCGGGATCATCTTGACCCTGCCGTGGTGGAAATGCTTGCTCAGAGCCAGCTCCAGGTGTCCCTGCCAGCCTTCTCTGGGCCCCCACCCCTCCACACTGTGGCTCCCACTCTGCCCTGGACACTCTTGCCCAAGGGGCAGCCCCTGGCACTTTGGACCATGGGCTGAGCTCTCCAGGGTCTGGATGCTACGGACTGCTCCCTGCCCCCAGTTCTGCAAAGACAGGGCGCAGGCCCACTCCAGCTCCGCAGGGACAGGGGCTCAGGCCCACCCCAGCTTCGCGGGGACGGGGCATGGGCAGGGCTATGGAGAGGCCTGGGGGGCAAGCCAGCTCAGCCTCCTCTTGCCTTGCAGCTGGTGGGCAGCCTGTTCCAGGAAGCAGAGTCCTGGTCTGGGGATGGGCGAGGCAAACCCACGCTGGCGTCTCGCTTCCAGCATTCTCTGGAGGACCTCCTAGCCCAGTTGGGCAGGTGAGAACAGTGCCCCCCATAGGAGACCCCAGGGAGTTGAATGGAGGGGGGCTGGTCTATGCCCAAATGACCCCCTTTCCTCCCATCAGGAGCCATGTCTATTTCATCCAGTGCCTCAACCCCAACCCGGGAAAGGTGAGCTCCCCTCCACCCCATGCATGGCCCTGGAGCCTTCCCATCCACCTGCCCCGCCTTTCTCAGTGGCCCCTGCAGCTTTAAGCCCCAGCTTTCATTGGCTCTTTCCCACGGCCACAGCTTCCGGGTCTCTTTGATGTAGAACACGTGGCAGAGCAGCTGCTCCAGGCAGGCATCCTGGAGGCAGTGTGTACCCGCAGTGCCAACTTTCCTGTGCGTGTGACCTTCCAGGCTTTCTTGGCCAGGTAGGGCCCCAGGATGGGGGCGGCCAAGGGCCCGGGGACCTCCGGGCCCGGACCCACAGGGACGGCTGGCAGACCCGGGGTTCCTTTGGGGCGGAGATGGACCCACTTTCTTAGGGACCTTAGGCCTGGCTTCTATCCTCTTCCTCGAGATGTTCTTTCTCCTTCTCTCCCTCCATCCCTCTCTCCTTCCCTGTTCATTAGCACCCCCCGCCCCCCAAGCCTCCATCTGTCCCTCCTCCATACAGCAAAACCCTGCTGGGTGCCTGGCACAGAGTAGGTTGTTTCCAAATCGCTGTTGAATGACTTAGGGACTAAGTAGACTCTGAGGGGCGGGGGGATGGTCGAACAAGGGTGGAGGGAGGTCCTCGCTGTGCTTGTTCCAACCTCAGCTCTCCATCTGAGGGGCAGGTTCCGGGCCCTGGGGACAGAGGGGCAGGGAGAGTCCTCAGACCGGGAGAGGTGTGGCGCCATCCTGAGCCAGGTGCTGGGGGCTGAGTCGCCCCTCTGTCACCTGGGAGCCACCCAGGTGGGTGCACGTGTGCAGAGAGGCAGGCGTGGCTGGAAAGGGAGAGGAGTGTTCGGGGACAAACTCGGGATTTGGAGTGGGCCTGGGTGGCAGGTGTCCTGGGCTCCCCATGAGAATGGGTTGTCCTGCTGGAAGGGAGGAGGCTGAGGCCTCAGGAGAAGAGCAGGGTGGGCCCTCCCCTTTGCCCCCAGGTCCTGCTGCAGGAGTCCGGCTGGCGGCAGCTGGAGTGGCACTGGGCCCGGCAACGCTCCCAGGCCCTGCTCGCCCTGCACCGCAGCCTGCGCGCATGCATCTCTCGCCAGCGCCTCCGCCTCCTCCTCCTGCCACGGATGCAGGCGCGCGTGCGAGGGCTCCAGGCCAGGTCTGCAGGGGTGGGATGAGCAGAGGGCAGGGGGGCTTCTCAGTTGGTGGGGCAGGGTGTGGGAGGGGTAGGGCCTCACGGCAAGTCTATCTGCCCCAGTGCAGTCCCTGCCCATACCCCTGCAACCTCTGCAACCTCTGCAACCTCTGCTTGAATGCCCCTACTCACAAGAAGCCCACTACCTGCTAAGGCCACCCAAAACTGCAGTCTTGACTCCTTGAGTGTTTTTTAGTCTGTTCGTCACTCCGCTGCAAAAATGCTCTTTTAAAAGCATGGATCAGGGGGCACCTGGGTGGCTCAGTCGGTTAAGCGTCCGACTTCAGCTCAGGTCGTGATCTCACTGTTCATGGGTTCAAGTCAGGCTCTGTGCTGCCGGCTCGGAGCCTGGAGACTGCTTCAGATTCTGTGTCTTCCTCTGTCTCTCTCTGCCCCTCCCCTGCTCGCACTCTGTCTCTGTCTCTGCCTCTCTCTCAAAAATAAATAAATATTAAAAATTTTTTAAATAAAATAAAAGCACGAATCAGGCTGTGTGAGGCCCTGCCTACCTCTCCAGCCTCTAGGTCAGAGTTTTATACTCCAGGCTCTTTGGGTTTCTTGATCCTATAACACTCCCTCCCCCTTCTCACATAATTAACTCCCATTCACTTTCACAGCCTGTCTTTGCTCGTTCACCCAACAGCTGTTGGTTGACCTCCTCCATCACCATCCGCCCTCCCCCCCACCCCCAGCCAGGCACAGGGACTCAGGGATCAAGGCAGAGATAGTGCCTACCGGGCTCACTGGGGAATCAGGTGCAGAGGGTAAACCAGCCACCAGGCACCCCAAAGGTGGTGTGAAAGTGCTGAGACAAAGTAAGGGCAGTGCCGTGGACACCAGGAAAGCCTTCCGAGGCAGGGCACCCATCAGCGCTATCCGTTTCCAAAAATGTTTTCATCACCGACAGAAACTTTGCATCTCTTACGCAATTATTCCCTACTTGCCTTTCGCCCAGTCCCTAGTAACCTCCAGTCTACTCTCTGTCTCTACCAACTTGCCTGTTCTAGATATTACATGGAAATTGACTCATACAGTATTTCCTTTTACACCTGGCTCACTGCTCTAACTATAATGTTTGCAAGGTTCATCCATGTCGTAGCTGGTATCAGAACTTCATGTTTTTTAAATCTTTAAAGAAGTTTTTATTTTTGAGAGAGAGAGCATGAGCAGGAAAGGGGCAGAGAGAGAGGGAGACGCAGAATCTGAAGCAGGCTCCAGGCTCTGAGCTGTCAGCACAGCCTGATGAGGGGCTTGAACTCACAGACTGTGAGATCATGACCTGAGCCGAAGTTGGACACTCAACCGACTAAGCCACCCAGGCACCCCTCATTTCGTTTTTTTTTTCTTTTGTTTATTTTGAGAGAGAGTGTGTGTGAGCAGGGGAGGGGCAGAGAGGGAGGGAGAGAGAGAGAATCCCAAGCATGCTCCCCGCTTGTCAGTGTGGAGCCCAGTGTGGACCTTGAACCCACCAACAGTGAGATCACGACCTGAGCTGAAATCAAGAGCTGCTTAACCGACTGAGCCACAGAACTTCATTTCTTTTTTATGGACGAATAATGTTCTATCGTGTGCACAGACCACACCTTGTGTGTCCGCTCATCCGTCAGTGGTCATTTGGACTGTTTCCACTTTTTGGCGACTGTGAGGAAGGCTGCTCGGAACGTGAGCGTGCGAGTATCTGTTCAGGTCTCTGCTTTCAATTCTTTGGGAATTGAAAGGAGTGGAATTGCCGGATCACGTGGTAATTCTCTGTTTCGTGTTTTGAGGAGCTGTTTTCCACGGCGGCTGCCCCGTTTCCTGTTCCACCAGCATGAGCCGGGGTTACGGTTTCTCTACAGCTTTGCTGATGTTTATTTCGCACTATTTATTTATAAAGTTTATTTATTTATTTTTGAGAGAGAAAGAGAGCACGAGCAGGGGAGGGGCAGAGGAGAGGGAGACAGAATCCGAAGCAGGCTCCAGGCTCTGAGCTGTCAGCACAGAGCCCAGTGCGGGGTTCAAACCCATGAACCACGAGATCGTGACCTGAGCCGAAGTCGGACACTTAGCTGACTGAGCCACCCACGCGCCCCTATTTTCCACTTTTTATTTTTTATTTTTTCAACATTTATTTATTTTTGGGACAGAGAGAGACAGAGCATGAACGGGTGAGGGGCAGAGAGAGAGGGAGACACAGAATCAGAAACAGGCTCCGGGCTCTGAGCCATCAGCCCAGAGCCTGACGCGGGGCTCAAACTCACGGACCGCGAGATCGTGACCTGGCTGAAGTCGGACGCTTAACCGACTGCGCCACCCAGGCGCCCCTCCACTTTTTATTTATTTATTTATTTATTTTTTTTTTAAGTTTTTTTAACGTGTATTTATTTTTGAGACAGAGAGAGAGACAGAGCATGAACGGGGGAGGGGCAGAGAGAGGGGGAGACACAGAATCGGAAGCAGGCTCCAGGCTCTGAGCCATCAGCCCAGAGCCTGACGCGGGGCTCGAACTCACGGACCGCGAGATCGTGACCTGAGCCAAAGTCGGACGCTTAACCGACTGCGCCACCCAGGCGCCCCGCCCCTCCACTTTTTAAATTAGAGCCATCCTACTGGGCGTGAAACAGTACCTCATTGTGGTTTTGATTTGCATTTCCCTAATGACGAACGAGGTTGAACATCTCGCTTTTCGGCCAGTTGTGTATCTTCTTGGAGAAATGTCTAGTCAGGTCTTCTGTCTGCCTTTTGATTGTACAGTTTGTCTTGCTGAGTTGTAGGAGTTCTTTATAAATCCTGGATATTAAACCCTTATCAAATCTGTGATTTGCAAACGTTCCCCTGCCTGGTGTGTGGGTTGCCTTTTCACTTTCTTGATAGTGTTCTTTGAGGCCCCAAAACTATACATTTATTTTATTTATTTCTTAAGATTTTATTTTTAAGTAATCTCCACACCCAACATGGGGCTCGAACTCACAACTCTGAGATCAAGAGTCACACCCTCCACCGACTGAGCCAGCCAGGTGCCTCCTATTTTTTTTTTTTTTAAGTAAACTCTACCCCCAACAAGGGGCTTAAACTCATGACCCCAAGACGTTCTACCAGATTGAACCAGCTGGGCACCTCAAAACTGGACATTTTTTTATTTACAAAGATTTTTTTAAATGTTTTATTTATTCTTGAGACAGAGAAAGACAGAGCATAAGCAGGGGAGGGGCAGAGAGAGAGGGAGGCACAGAATCCGAAGCAGGCTCCAGGCTCTGAGCTGTCGGCACAGAGCCCGATTCAGGGCTCGAACTCAACAAACCGCGAGATCATAACCTGAGCCGATGTCGGACGCTTAACCGACCGAGCCACCCAGGCGCCCCACATTTTTTTACTTTTTAATGTTAATCCTGCTTGTGACTCCTTTACTGAGGAGTCTGGTTTTATATCTGGAAAATTCTCAAAGACTCAATCTCTTCTGCGATGTCTTATTGGATTTCCAGTGATGGTATTTTTTTTTTTTTTCATTTTTAGAAGTTCTTAAATAAAAATATGTCAGGGGCTCCTGGGTGGCTCAGTCGGTTAAGCGTCCAACTTCGGCTCAGGTCACGATCTCGCGGTCCGTGGGTTCGAGCCCCGCATCGGGCTCTGGGCTGATGGCTCAGAGCCTCAGCCTACTTCCGATTCTGTGTCTCCCTCTCTCTCTGACCCTCCCCCGTTCATGCTCTGTCTCTCTCTGTCTCAAAAATAAATAAACTTAAAAAAATTAAAAAATAAATAAATAAAAATATGTCAGACTCTTCTCAACATGTCGGTTGATTCAGTTAATCTTGTGGTGGGGCAGGTATTACACGAATCCTCATTTTGCAGATGGTAGCGATAAAACAGAGAGGGAAAGTAACTTCCTCATGACCTCGAGGACTAAACAGGAGGGAAGTGAGCCCAGTGGTCGGCTCTGCTGTCTAAGACCTTAATCTCCTTCGCTGAACACCTGCTCAATGCACCTGTCCTTTCAAAGTGTCCTGTCCCTTCCCTGCTGCTTCTGTTCAGCACCTGGGGTGGGGGGCCGCTGGCCCGGGGTCAGTGTTTACGTTCATGTCTTGGCTGGGGGATTCAGGTACTGGACTAAGTTTGGACTCCTCACCACGCCCTCCTCCCCCACCCCCACCGGCCTCTAGGAAGCGGTACCTCCGGCGGCGGGCGGCTCTGGGACAGCTGAACACCATCCTGCTGGTGGCCCGTCCCCTGCTCTGGAGGTGGCAGAGACGGCAGGTGCAGCTTTTGGGTGGGGCAGGTCGGGGTGGAAGTTAGGCCGCCTTGCTGGTCCGGCTCTTCCCATTTCCCGCTGCCTGCGGTAGGCCGGTGCCTCCTGGAGGTTGCTTCCTTTATCCCTGCCCGTCCTCCAGAGTCTGACTCTCCCCTGTCAGTCTGGGGTGCCTTCCTATCCCCTCCACGCCTTCCTTAGGGCCTGCCAGCTCCCCTCTTTTGCCTGATGATTCCAATGTGAGGGCCATAAAAAAGCTCAAAGGTCAGTGTCCACATACTGCTCCCCTGGGGCCCCTCCCTGGATGGACTTTGTCCCCTGGGATCATTTCTTCCTGCCCTCTCCTCAGTGCCCTGGCAGACGGGCAGCGACGCCCACAGCACTAAGGCTGGTGAGGGCCCTGGAGGGCCGGTGGCAGGTGGCCGGCCCCTTGGGGTCTGTGCTTGTTTCTCTGCTGGGGGCTGGCGGGGGCAGCTGAACTGCTGAGGCGGGGAGGAGCTGCTGGGAGGTTTGAGGAGACTCCTTCCCGGGACCCCAGCATCTCCTGCGTCTCCCCGAGCAGCTTGGGCGTTGGCGTGGTTGGCACAGCAGGAGGACCTCCGAGAAAGCTCCAAGCATGGTAGGTGGACTGGAAGCTTGAGGGTGTCCGCTGGGTTATGAACCCACTGAACCTGGTGTGGCTCAAGGGAGAGTGTGGGGTCCCAGCTGAGCCACCGTGGCTCCTAGCTCTCAGGGGCATCCTACGCACCCCCTAAGAAGAGCCCTGGGCTGCCCTATTTTCCCTCCGTGGGCTCCTGGGGCCTTATTTGTGTCCAGGAGCAGAACCCTCGGTCTTTCCAGATGTTTATAGTCCTGGGGGTGAGGAGGGACGCTGGGTCCCCGTAGCCCCTCCCTTAGCACCTTGTCAATTGCTCCTCTGTGCCAGGAACTGGGACGCTTGGAGATCCCGGCTGAGCTGGCCGTCATGCTGAAGGCGGCAGAAGGTGAGTTTTGATGAGTGTCTCTTGCCGTGACCCCTCTCCCCACCCGGTCTGTCTGCAGTGTGGTGGCTCTGACCCCACGGTCCCTCCCTGTGATGCGTTTGGCTCCCCTGAGCTCCCTCTGCCCCGGGGGCTGGGGGCTGATGGTGAGTGGGGGAGGCGGTGCCACAGCCCGGTGCCTGACCTGGTATTTCGGCGCCTCCCCATGCTGTCCCCAGGCCGTCAACATGTTTTGGCTGATAGCATCACGGAGTCGATGCCCCCGGAAGTGCCTGTCCGGCCCAAGCTGACCCTCCCCCCCGACATTGACCGGTTTCCGTTCTCCAGCTTCATATCCATTAGCTTTCAGGTGGGTTCCCAGCCCTCGGCTTTTCCCGGCTGACCCCCACGGCTCCCCAGATGTTAGCCCTGCCAGGCAGGGGCTGTGTCTCTTCTTCCTTCTCCCCTGCAACACACCCAACCTCTCCTGTCACGGGAGTGATGGGTGTGGCTGCACTTCTAGGAGACTATCCATTGAACCTAAACGCCTAGCCCTCTAGTGTCACTTAGATCCATGATGCCTCACCTTTGTTACCCCTGTGGCATCCCTCCCCCCACCCCCCGCCGCTCCCGTTGAGGTCCTCTGGTTAAAGCGTGTGTAATGACGAGGCAAACGTCTGGGCTGCAGTGTTGGATACGAAACAGGATTCGAAACTGCACATGGAGTATGATCCCAATCTTGTTGACAGTGATAACAGGTGTGGGAGGGTGATGTGTGTTATCTATGCATAGAAAGTAAGACTAGAGAGACTAAAATGTCAGCTGTGGTCACGACGGGCAGTGAAATATTAATGGTGTTTTTTTATTCTTTATCCTTTTCCATGTTTTCTGAGTTTCCTGCATGCACGGGTGTCAATTTTCTAACCAGAAAGAACAATTAAGATGCACGTTGCAGGTGGTTTTCCTGCCGGGCCCCCTCCGCCCTGAGGGCGCTCGCTCCTGCGGGCTCTGCCGGGGGCTGTCTCCAGCAGGTCAGCACAGACCAGCACCTGCTCAGGCACTGTCACCCTCCTTGCTTGCAGGAGCCATCCCTGCCCCACCCTGGGCAGCCACTGACCAAGCCCCTGACCCGGCTGGTCGGGGAGAACCCTCAGCATGCCCTGGATATCAACAAGGTGGTGAGTGGCACATCGGGGAGGGGACGGGGTGAGCCGGGCCCTGGCTCCTAGGTGCTGGCTGAGCACAAGGGAGGTCTGCACATCCTGCACTCGTCCCCGCTCTGTGTCTACAGCTGCTGCGGCTCCTGGGGGACGGGTCCCTGCCCTCCTGGCAGGAGCAGACCATGGGCGAATACCTGGTGCGACAGGGGCAGCGCCGACCAGGGCTGCGGGACGAGATCTTCAGCCAGCTCGTGGCCCAGATCTGGCACAACCCGGACGAGCAGCAGAGCCAGCGCAGCTGGGCCCTCATGGCCATGCTGCTCAGCGCTTTTCCCCCAATGCCCACCCTGCAGAAGCCACTGCTCAAGTAAGGGGCCTGCCACGCGGCGGCCCAGTGACCGGGGTCGGTGGGCTGCCCACCCCCACAGCAGCCGCTTGCTGTCCCCACAGGTTTGTGTCCGACCAGGCCCCCACAGGCATGGCAGCACTGTGCCAGCACAAGCTCCTGGGGGCCCTGGAGCAGATGCGGCTGGCCCCCGGGATGGCACGCGCCCACCCGCCCACCCAGCTCGAGTGGACAGCCGGACGGCGGCGGGGCCGCATGGCACTGGACGTCTTTACGTTCGATGGTGAGGCTCACCTTCCGCTCTCCAGCGGCACCTCCTGTGACCCTGATCTCCCTTCTGTCCTGCTCCTGGAAGCCCCGTGGGGACAGCAGCCCCTTCCTGTCAGGGAGGACCTGCTGCCGCTCACGCGGGCCCCCCACGCCTTGTCCCTGCAGAGGAGTGCTACTCAGCCGAGGTGGAGTCCTGGACCACGGGGGAGCAGTTCGCTGGGTCTATTCTGCAGAGCAGGTACCGGGGCCCGGGGTGGGGAGTGTGGCCAACGCTGACCACTGTCCCATCCTCCTGCGTCCCGCCAGGTGCCTCCTGCAAACCCAGGGCCAGAGCCTGCTCCCCCGAGGAGTGAGGCTGGGTGGGGGTGGGGACATGGAGGGGTAAGTGGGCTCCATAAATAAATGAGCACGTCAGAGCCGACGTAGAGGTAGAAGGCTGTGAGGTGCAAATGAAGGAGAGCCGTCTGAGGAAACCAGTTCCTAACCCGGGTTCCGCCAGCCACCTCCGCTTGGCCCGCACTCAGGTCCTTGCCCCTTCCCCGGGGGGTCGTCTTCCTGGCTGACCACTGCCTCTGTCCTTCCCAGAGGCCTGGAGGTGCCCCCCCGTGGCTGGTCCGTGTCACTGCACTCCAGGGATTCCTGGCAGGATTTGGCGGGCTGTGACTTCGTGCTGGACCTCATCGGCCAGACTGAGGACCTGGGGGACCCCGTCAGTCCTCGCAGCTACCCCATTGCCCCCCGTGGCTTGTAGGTGCCGCCCAGCGCCCCTGTCCCCAGCCTGTTCCTGTCTCAGATCTGTCATAGGTGACCCCCCGTAGCTACCCCATCACACCCTGGGGTTCATAGGACCTGCTACAGGGCCAGCCCCCCTCCAACCTAACCTTCTCCCACGACACGGGGATGACCCCCCACAGCGGCTTCTATCCCTTGCCTCAGCCGGGGCACCACCCCCATCTGAGGCACCCCGTTAGCTGGGCCCTCTGTCTCCTGCAGACCTGAGGACATCCCCCCCGCCCCTGGCATCCAGGCCCCCTCACTGCCCCCAGATCCACCTCCGGGTCCGCCCCCAACACTGTCCAGCAGGAGCCACACAGGTAAGGCAAGAATGGACATGGTAAGGTTGGCACATGATGGGAATGGGGGTGCAGGAAGCCCCATACCCTAGAGTGACACTAACCCGCCTCTGGCCCCACAGCCGAGTCTCAGGTCTCAGGGAGTCTGGACGGCTTCCTGGACCACCTCTTCGAGCCGGTCCTCTCCCCAGGCCGCAGCGTGAGTGTTCTGCACACACACCCGCCCCCCACCCGCCCCTGCCCCATTCCGATGCCTCTCGCATCTCTCCCAGGGCTCCAGTTCTGACCCCACGGCCTATGGCCTTTGTCCCTTCAGGATCTGGAGCAAGGCTGGGCTCTGAGCAGCCGCATGAAGGGAGGGGGCGCCATTGGGCCCATGCAACAAGGCAGCTACCCCATGGGTGAGTGCAGGGCTGAGCACCTATCCGGGGTCTCCCCAGGCAAGCATGGCCTGGGACCCCGCAGGAAGCACCCATGGCCCCTGCTCTTCTTGTTGTCTGGGGCTGGAGGGAGGTGGTCGTTGGGCCTAGATAGGAATCGACCTGGGAAGGCCCTGTGCCCTCAGTTTACCCAGGGATGATGCAGATGCCCGGATACCAGCCGGCCATGATGCCTGCAGCCATGCCCATGATGCCGGCGGTGGGCGCAGTCCCTGCCATGCCAGGTAAGGTGGAATCCCGGGTCCCTTCTCGGGTAGGAGCCGGAGGAAGGGAGGTCCGACCAGGGTCCCGGAGGGGATGGTGGGCGGAGGGCCGTGAGCAAGCTTGGCACTTGTATGCCACTTGCAGCCATGGTGGTGCCGCAGCAGCCACAGCCGCAGCCCCTGCTTCCCGGTGTGGACCCGAGGCAGCTGGCGGCCCAGCAGCAGAACTTCATCAACCAGCAGGCGCTGATCCTGGTGAGGGTGGGCAGGGCCCGCAGATTGCCTGGTGGGGACAGGTCCGCAGGGCAGAGCCAGACCGGCTCTCACCGGGCCCACTGCCCCCTCCCTCTTCAGGCCCAGCAGATGACCACCCAGGCCATGACCCTGTCGCTGGAGCAGCAGACGCATCAGCGTCAGCGCCAGTCAGAGGCCCAGACCCGTGGAGCTGCTGCCCCGACCTCACCCCCACCCGTCACCCCCAGCCCCAAGCCCAAGAAGCCCCTGGTTCCACGGGAGGAGCCGGAGCAGGAGCTGGAATCGGTGGGTGCTCGTCTGAGGGTGAAGAGCTGAGGCCAGGCAGGTGGCACGGCCTGGGGTGGAGACAGCGGGCTCCAGGACTGAGTGGCCGGGAGACCCCACGGGAGCAGGAAGATGAGGAGAAGATGCCCGCGGCCCTGGCCCCAGAGATGGGGTGGGGGTGCAGGTGCTGGGAGAGTGGCGCCTTGGCTGGCCAGGCTGCTCCTTCGCTCCCCCTTCCTGCCCACAGGAGATCTCCCAGGAGCCCCGAGACAAGCCCCGGAGGCCTAAGAGCTTCCAGCAGAAACAGGACTTTTTCCAGAAACTGGGTGAGGGTGCTCGAGGTGGCAGGCCTGTGCAGAGACCCATCCGCCCCAGCCTGCCCAGGGCATGTGGGGCACATTCTCCTCCCCTGCGTCAATGTAGCCTGTCCAGGAGGCCGATGGGCAGGCCAGGTGGAGAGTAATAGGGCCATCTGGGGCACTTTCAGGGCAGCAGCAGATCAAGGTGAAGACAGTGAAGCCGCCGGCCAAGATACAGATCCCCCAGGAGGAGGAGCAGGACGAGGAGCAGGACGAGGAGGAGCCCAGAGCAGGTGGTGGGGAACACGGTGGGTGGGCAGGGCCCGCCCTGTGGGCGTGCACAGGGTCTCACCTGTTCCTTCTCCTCCTGGCCAGTGCCATCCCCTCCTCCTCCCCCTATAGTGAAGAAGCCACTGGCACGAGGGGGGGCCAAAGCCGCACGAGAGGCTGAGGCTGAGCCGGCCCAGGAGGCGGGGCCTGGTGCTGATCCGGAGCCCGCACAGGACAGAGACCTGGTCCGCAGCTCGGACCCCGCGCCCCGACGGCGGGCAGAGCCCAGCAGGGAGATCCGCAACATCATCCGCATGTACCAGAGCCGCCCGGGTCCTGTTCCTGTGCCAGTGCAGCCATCCAAGTGGGTCCCGGGGGTGACCAGGGCTGCCCACTCCCCAGGGAGTCACCCTGTGGACTCATGACCTCTTACTTCTCTCAGGAGGCCCCCAACGTCTTTCATGAAGAAAAACAACCCCAAGGATGAGGCTCTGGCTAAGTTGGGGATCAGTGGTGCCCACACATCCACATCGGTGAGGCCCTATCCTGTCCAGGGCATGGCTTCTCACCTTGGGAGTCCAAGGCTCTCTGGGGTAAATTTAGCCTCACCCCTAGAGCCAGCTGAGCAAATTCTCTGTGCCTTCTCCAGGTGCTGTCACCCAGCCCAAAGAAGGGCCCCCCGCCACCTGTGGCCCCTCGACCCAAGGTCCCAACACAGCTTGGGCCCTCCAACTCCATCAAGGAGGACCAGGGTCTGTTTGGCCAGACTCCACCCACTGCCCATGCACCACCACCTCCTCCAGCGCCCCCACTGCCTGGGGAACCAGGGACCCTTTCAGCGGAGCCCCGTGGTGAGGAACCTCTTGTCCCTCGGTGGCGGGCTTCGTTGAGACGGCTGGGTTCCGAGCGGCCTGTCAGCACTCACGGCTGAGGTCGGCCGCTCGGGGTGCTCAGGCTTCGGGACTTTGGAGCCCCAGCTTCCTCATTCCCGTCCAGGGCGGGGCCCGGGCACTCCTGGCGCCCGTGTGGCCCTGAGGGACTGTCACAGGGTGGTGTCCTCAGTACAAACCTGGCCGCTCCATCAGGAATTTAGTGGCCCTGCTGACCTGGTGAAGGACAGCAGGGAAGATGAGGGCTGGAGACGGAGGCAGGAAATGGGACATGGGCAGGACGGAGGCAGCAGAGGTCGAGTGGGCAGAGCCCTCGCAGGGCCCCAGGGAGGTGAGGGTCTTCTGTCCCCATATCCCTGCCATTCGGGCTCTCGCCTGAAGCTCTCTGGCCCTTCCCTCTGCCAGGCTTGATGGAGCCCATGGAGGACCAGGGGGTCTCCACCCAGCTGCTCGTGCCCTCTGGCAGCGTGTGTTTCTCCTACGTCGGTGCGCCCTGGAGGCTGTTCCTACGCAAGGAGGTGGGCGTGGGGGGGTGGGGGGGCTGGCCGCCGCGGAGGGGTGGCAGGTGGTGGGCGGGGGCCCAGCGTCTCCCCACACACGAACACTGGGGCTGCCTCCTCACAACCCACCTCCTCAGGCCTGGTTTTCCTTCTGGGTCTGAGAGGAAGTGGGGGGCCAAAGAGGGGCACCGTTGCCAACTCTTTTCCATCCCCGTGCTCTCCGACAGGTGTTCTACCCCCGGGAAAACTTCAGCCATCCCTACTGCCTCCGGCTGCTCTGTGAGCAGGTGAGGGCCCGGGCCACCTGCAACATGGACAGACAGACTGCTCCTGCGTCTGGGCCGGGTTACCGTCAGTGCAAGAGGCAGGAGAGCAGCAGTACTAATGGGGCAGGTGCTGTGTTTCGAGCCCTGCCTTTATTTAACATCCCTAAGAGTAAGGACCACTACTGGCCTGTAAGGAGGATGCAAAATCAAGCGTATATAGTCCCCAGCATGGGCTCCGGCACCCGGCAGACGCTCCCCGATGCTTCTTTGCCACCGCTGAGTGCTCCCAGGACCCTAGCTCTTCCCCCAAATTCCAGAGCAGCCTCCCCCAGGTTCTGTTCCTTCAGGGGGAATTTATCTCAGGTGACTGAGGAACAGCAGCCCGCTCATGCAGGTGGCCGTGGGGAGGCGAGTGGGAGCTCCAGGTGGAGGTGGCCCTGGGCTCAGAAGTCCCACGTCCCTCCCTGCTCCACCCATGCCCACGGGGCTCTTTAGCTTTTCCTCCGCATGTGGCTGCTTCCACGGTGAGCTCTGGCTTTGGGATCTGGTGGTGACCACTTGGCTCTGCCCCCCAGATCCTGAGGGACACCTTTGCCGAGTCCTGCATCCGGATCTCCCAGGATGAGCGGCACAAAATGAGAGAGCTATTGGGTAGGGTCCAGGGACCCTGGAGTTGGGGAGCTGAAGAGCTGGAGGGGGGGGAGAAAACTCTGGGGTCCCCCTGTGAAGGAGCCTGAGGACAGTCTGGGGCCGTTCCTGCCCACAGGAGACCTGGAGGTGGGCCTAGATTCGCTCAGTACCACCGAGGACAACGTCAAGAAGCGCATCGTGGTGGCCGCTCGGGACAACTGGGCCAATTATTTCTCCCGAATCTTCCCTGTCTCGGTCAGTGAGGCTGAACGTAGGGCTGGGGATGGCAGTACCACAATCTGGCTCCTAGCGTGGCCTGCATGGGCCTTTGTGGCAGGGATGAGAGCTGGGGGTGGGGTGGGCACAATGGAAGGACCCCCCCCCCCCGGGGCATCTTGGATGGCGGTGGGGAACCGGGAGCCTGTCACCTTCCTTCCGGGCAGGGTGAGAGTAGCAATGACGTGCAGCTGCTGGGCGTGTCCCACCGGGGGCTGAGGCTGCTCAAGGTGACCCGAGGCCCCAGCGTCCACCTCAACCAGCTGAAGACTCTCTGCTCATACAGGTGAACCTGGGCTGGGGGCGGGGCTGTGGATGGCCCCCGGGGTGAAAGGGCTCCCAGCTCATGCCTCCACCTGTGCACAGCTTTGCTGAGGTGCTGGGCGTGGAGTGCCTGGGCAGCTCCACTCTGGAGCTGTCACTAAAGGCTGAGCAGCTGGTGTTGCACACGGCCCGGGCAGGTGCCATCAAGGCCACGATTGAGCTGTTCCTGAGTGAGCTCAAGAAGGCAAGCGCAAGCTGGGCAGGGGGCTGGGTGGGGGCAGGGGGCGGGGTGGGGGCAGGGGCTGGTCAGCGGAGCTCCCTCAAGCCACCAGGGGTCCTCGGAACTCTGGAGTGCTGGGTGGCGGGCGAGGCCAACAGGGGGAGCAGGTGAGGCGGGCAGGACCGGGGCTACAGGCAGCCTGGCTCCCTTACCTGCCCGCCCTCTTGCCTGCAGGACTCTGGCTATGTCATCGCCCTGCGAAGCTACATCACCGATGACCACAGCCTCCTCAGCTTCCACCGTGGGGACCTCATCAAGCTGCTGCCAGTGGCCGCTCTGGAGCCCGGTATCCTTGGGGGGCAAGCAGGGTGGCTGGCTCAGGGAGGGCAGCCCCTGGCAGAGCCTCTGAGGGGCAGAGGGGCCAGGCGGGTGAGCCACCATCCTTGGGTGCCTTCCAGGCTGGCAGTTCGGCTCCACCGGGGGCCGTTCTGGACTCTTTCCCGCCAACATGGTTCAGCCAGCTGCTGCTCCAGACTTTTCCTTTTCGCCAGAGAGGAGTGGCCGGCACATGAGTCAGCTGCAGCACGGAGAGCCGGGGCTGGCTCGGTGGGAGAGGGCCACGGAGGTGAGGAAGATTGGGGGGAGGGGGCGGGGGGAAGGCGAGGCCTAACTAGGAGTCGAGGAAGCAAAGGGCTTGATTGCCCCTGAGTGGCCAGGTCCACCTGCCGCCTGGCAGGCGGTGCTTGGTCTGATGCTGCCCCTCTGCCCTCTCCCAATTTCTTGCCTGGTCTCCTCAGCAAGGCTGTGAGCTCCTTGCGGGCAGGGCCTGGGCCGTATGGCCTTTGTGTTCCCTCGCAGCGTTGGAGTGGTCCCCTAGAAGATGCTCAGTAAACACCTCTTGACCCTCCTGGTGGTGTGCTCCCTCCAGCTGCTCTCCCTGGGTTGGGCTGGGTGGGGGCTGGGCATGGCCTCTGGACAGGCCCGTGGGCACTCGGGTGGCATGAGACGCCCTGTGTTCCCAGCGCCATGCCCACCCCCGGAGCCGGACACACAGTGACAACTCCGAGGCCACCAGCTCGACCCACTCTGCGGCCTACCTCTTTCTGTCCACGGAATCCCACAACTACACCATGCAGGAATTTGCCCTGAACCACTTCCGGAAGCCTCAGACCTTGTGAGTGCCCCGGGCCCACCCTTCTGCTTGCCCATCCTCAGTCTCCCTGAAGTAGGCCTTCCTGCTCAGAGCCACTAGGCCCGTACTTTTAGCACTCTCCCTACACAGCCTGCGATGGGGGGGGAGGGGGGGCAAGCAAGCAGGGCTGTCTTCCCCTCTGCCCCCTCAGGCTGGACCAGACACATGGAGATGCTAAGAAGGCCATGGCCAGCCTGGTGCAATACACCAAGGTGAGGGGGACAGGTGGGGAGGAGTCGGGCCAGCGGATCTGCCCTCTGGCCCCCACAGACCCCCAACCCAGTCTCTTTGGCCGCAGGCTCCCATACAAGAATCGCTCATCAGCCTCAGTGATGAGGATGCCAACAGGCAGGCTGTGGAAAGCTTCCAGGGTGAGTGGCCACAGCATCCTGTGTCCCCATATCCGTGGTGCCTTGGACCTAGGTGCCAGGTCTCCTTCCCTCCTCGAGTTTGTCAACTCAGGGAAGCTCACTGGTGGTTACCGTACCTCAGAGCCCTCACCTCCTTCTACACACACCCAAGGAGTGGTGGGTCGTGTATGGTCTGGACAGACAGGTCGCAGTATGTCCAGCTGGCTCTGGGCCGTATGCAGCCACAGGTGCCCACGGCACCCCTCTCTCTCAGAGCCCTGTCTCCTCATCGCTGATGTGGAGATTGCTCTGCTCTGCCTGGCTCCCGTGCATTTTCGAGAGCAAGGCAGGAGACGATGGGGAAAGCCCTGTCTGGTGACAGGAGCCAGGGCCAGGCCCCCCACCCAGCTCACCAGCTTCTCCTCCTGCCTGCAGTTCTGATGCAGTTCATGCAGGACCAGCCCAAGCCCCGGGGCAAGAATGAGTCGGAGCTCCTTTACGAGCTGCTGAGGGTAAGCAAAAGCTTGTGTGCTGAAAGCTGGTTGGGGGTGGGGGCGGGTACCATGTGCCCAAGGGTCTGTTCCGGTCTTCATGCCCGGGCCTGAGTGAGTTCCCCTTTCCCTTGGCCACTAGTCTTTCAAATGATCCAAAATTTACTGAGTCCCCATTACATGCTGGGGGCATGGCCGTGAACCAAGCAGGCCAGGTCCTCGCAGAGCTTACAATCTGGTGAGAGAGGACAGTCGCAAAACCATGACACAATGTATCCAAGAGTTCAAAGTGCTGTGGGGAATGACACAGCAGGGAAGGGGCTGCTACAATGCAGAGGCTTGGTGACAAGGTGACACCGGAGCAGCGATCTGAGGGAAGCCAGGGAGAGAGGCACGTATGCATCCAGGCAACACATGCAGGCGGAGAGAGGGGCAGGGGTGACGGTCCTGATCAGGGCGAGTCTCTAGCACCAGCAAGGCCAGCATGGCTGGAGCCCAGCGAGCCAGGTCAGGGTGGAGGATAAGGCCTGGGAGGGGTGGCAGGTCCAGGTCATGGCAGGCCATCGTAGGCTATTACTGGCACTCTGATTTCTCAAGAGGAGGGGCACTCGAGGAGGTTGCAGAGGGACTGGCTTACACTTTGAGATGGCTCTGGCTGTTTGCCACCCCTCCCAGGGGGGTGTAAGGGCCAGAGGAGGTTATGGCCACGATCACCAGGTGAGGGCGGTGCTGCTGGCTGAGCCCACAGGTAGCAACAGAGGGGAAAATGCTCAGAGCAACAGGGTTTGCTATGAATTATACATGGGGTGTGACAGAGAGGGGCCAAGGGTGTCACCGAGGCCCTGGGCAGAGCAGTGACCATCTTCAATACGAAGGCCCGAGGGAGGAGCAGATCTGGGCTGGTGCAGGAATGTTTTGGGCATGTGAAATCTGGGGTCCACTCTTCCAAGCAGGGGGCCTGGGTTCAAGGGAGAAGTCTAGGCTGGAGGCAGGCACTGGCAGACAGCAGGTGGGAGCAGCTGAGATCATCAGGGCGCATAGACAGAGGCCCGAGGGCACGGTGTTCCCTAGAGGTCAAGGATAAGGGGAGCCAGCAGAGAAGACAGGGCCGAGCATAGCCCATAAGCAGACGAAAACAGTCATTTAGAAAGTGACCACTCGGGCACAAGCTGTGACAAAGACCAAGAGCTGGCCGCCTGCCCGTGGCCGTTAGCAGGATTTCTCCCTGACTTTAGACCCCATGCCACCCTGCCCCCACAGCTGTGTCGGGAGGAGAACCTCAGGGATGAGATTTACTGCCAAGTCATCAAACAGGTCACAGGACACCCTCAGCAGTGAGTATCCTGAGCCAGGGGGAGCAGGGAGGACAGCCCGGTGCTGAGGCCGGGATCTGGCCAGCCTGAAGCCCAGGCTCTCTGCCCTGCAGGGAACACTGTGCTCGTGGCTGGAGCTTCCTCAGCCTCCTCGCAGGCTTCTTCCCCCCGTCAACCACGCTGATGCCCTATGTGACCAAGTTTCTGCAGGACTCAGGCCCAAGCCAAGGTGCCTATGGGAGGGACTTCCAGCCTGGGGTCTCAACAGCTTGGCGAGGGGTTTGGAGACGCCTGTGACCCCAGCCTGCTTCCCCTCTGCAGAGCTGGCCCAGAAAAGCCAGGAGCACCTCCAGCACACAGTCAAATATGGGGGGCGCCGGCGGCTGCCCTCTCTGGGTGAAATTCAGGCTTTCCTGGTACTGGGTGGGACGGGGGTACAGGTGGCTGGGCATTTTGGGACTCCCTGGTGGGGGATAGGAAGTTGGGGCCTCTGGCCACTGGAAGACTGACCCTGCAATCTGTCTTGGCAGAAAGGGCAAGCAGTCCGCCCGCTTCTCATTCACTTGCCAGGGGGTCTGGATTACAAAACCAGTATCCAGACTTTCACGGTGAGCATGGGGCTGCTGAGGAAGAAGGGCTGGAGGAGATGGGAAAGCTGTGGCATCAGGACCGCCCCCCCCCCAAGGCCCCCGGCCCCCCCATGGCCCTGTCTCTGTGCCCAGGTGGCAGCAGAAGTGCTGGAGGAGCTGTGCCGGCAGATGGGCATCACTGACCCCCAGGAAATGCAGGAATTTGCCCTCTTCCTCATCAAAAAGGAAGGTGAGCGGGGCGCCTGGGTGGCTCAGTTGGTTGAGCGGCCGACTTCGGCTCAGGTCACGATCTCACGGTCTGTGAGTTCGAGCCCCGCGTCGGGCTCTGTGCTGACAGCTCGGAGCCTGGAGCCTGTTTCAGATTCTGTGTCTCCCTCTCTCTGAACCTCCCCCGTTCATGCTCTGTCTCTCTGTCTCAAAGATAAATAAACGTTAAAAAAAAAATTTTTTTTTTTTTAAAAAGGAAGGTGAGCCCCCCCCCGCGGGGGAAAAAGGGGGGGGGGGGGGCAGGCTGGATTCCAGGAGGTGGCTTACCTGCCAGCTGTGTGCCCGTGAGTGAGGCAGGTTCCCACGCTGGGGCCGGCAGGCCTGCGGGCAGGGTTGACCCTGGACGGCAGGGCAAGCTGTGGACCTGGGTTCCCCACTCAGGCGAGCTGGTGCGGCCCCTGTGGCCCCACGAGTACCTCAACAGCGTGTTGGATCAGGACGTGAGCCTACACAGCCAGCGGCTCAGCTGGGAGACCCAGCTGCACTTCGATCACCCCACCTACATCACCACCCACTACAAGCAGGTCAGCTGCCACCCCTGGCCCCCACCCAGCCCCGGGCAGCAACTTGCAAGCGAGCCCCTGCCCGGGTGAGGGACCTCCAAGCCTCCCTCCCCCGAAGAAGAGATGGTGACAGGACCGAGCTCGAGCCCCAGGAGCCACCACCGAGTGGGGGCTTTGAGGCACAGCTGTCCCCTCCCCTCACTGCTGTCCCTCCTCAGGTGCTGCGGGACTATCTCCAGGGGAAGCTGTTGGTCAGTCCCCAGGCAAACGCCCAACTGGCCAGGCTGGCCGCCCTGCAGCACCGCAGCCAGACCCAAGAGGACCGGCTGTCAGAGTGAGTGTGAGGGTGGCCCCACACCTCCCGTCACCCCTTGTCCCTGCCGGTGCCGAGGCCCACCTCAGCGTGCACCCAAGGGCCTCTCCTTCGGCCCCCCACCCAGTACTCCAAGGTCAAGGCCGCTCAACTTGCACCTTCCTGGCCTCAGTGTGATGGGCCTGGAGTAGTGGAGGCTGTGTACACCTGACTTCCCCATCCCAAGCTCCTCAAGGGCAGGGCCCAGACGTCATTCGTAAGACCGGATTCCCAGCCTCACCTGCCTGTAGTAGCCTTGCTCGTTTATTTAGCACCTGCTGTATACCCAGCCTCGACTGACCAGTCTGTGTCATAGGCAAGACCTGTTGGCTTACTTGCCAAAGCCGCTGCAACGGTTAGTGAGCACGTCAACCATAAAGAACCTGATGGAACAGGAGTTGAGGTGGATACAAGCATGCAGCTCCCAAGAAGCACAGATCAGCTTCATTGGTGGGTCTGGGGCCCTGGGGGTTGCGAGGGCCGGAGCAGGAGACCGTGAAGGAAAGGGGTGAAGGTGCAGGGCAGCTTCTCTACCTGCCCTGCCTCGCTCATCCAACCTGGAGGCCGTTGGGCAGGTCCCAGGGCCACAGTGACCAGAACTCCTCTCCCGGCCCCTCCCTTCCCAGAGGCTGTGAGCCAGCTGCCCCTCTTTGGCTACACCGTCTACGTGGTGTTGCGGGTCAGTCAGCTGGCCCTGCCCGGACCCAGCCTTCTGGGACTCAACCGCCAGCACCTCATCCTCATGGACCCCAGCTCCCAGGTGGGCCAGGCTCCCGCCCCGATGCTGGCCTGAGCACCTTGCGCCACTCTCCCACCATCCACGGTGACCCCTCCCCTGAGAGGGTCCAAGCTCTGCTGTCTCTACTGCCCCCAGAAAGTGTACTGCTCCGTCGCCCTGAAGGACCTGCAGAGACTCCACCTGCTGAGCCCCCTGGAGAGCGATGGGCCCCCTGGCCTGGAACTCAACTACGGCTCTGCCGACAACCCCCGGACCATCTGGTTTGAGCTGGTGAAGGTGAGCGGCCAGGGCCTCCGATGACATCCTGGGAAGGCAGCGCACGCGTGACCCAGGCCTGGCGTGGGGTGGGGGTGCAGAGCGGGGAGCCCTGTCCTCATGTGCCTGTGCCCCGGCAGGCCCAGGAGCTGAAGCACACCATCGCCTTCCTGAAGGACAGCGGCACTGCTTCCAACTAACGGCTGGCCTCACCCAAGAAGAGGGGGAGAGGGGAGGAGACGAGGAAGGGGCCCCTCCCACATCCAAGTCTGACTGGGAGGGTCTCCCTTGGGTGCCATGAGGCCATTTTGGTTTGGACTCCACTCCCCCACCCCCGGCTGTTCTGGAACCTCCCACAGCACGGAGCTCCTGGCCCACGTGGAGGCCATGAGGCAGGAGCTACTACGGTGACATCAACTGGGAAAGAGAGTAGCAAGACTCCCCCCTGGGGGTTCCCGGAGTGGGGGCTGCAGGAACTCGCTTGGGCAGCTGATGCTGCCTACCCTGGGGGAGATGCCCGTATGGCGCAGGCCCTGGCTCAACACCAGAACGATCCCAGGCCTGGGAGAAGCAAATGCTGAGGAAATAAAACTCCCAAGAGAAAAAGGCTGTGTTTGTGTTTGGCGGGGGAGGGGTGTCAAAACCAACAGGACTTTTATTTCTCAGGTACGTCTCAGTCCGGCCCGGCCTTCCTGACCAGGAACTGAGCAGAGCGCAGGGCGCGGAGGCTGCCCTTCTCCTGAGCTCTGCACCCAGGGCCAGCCTGGAAACTGGCCTCGCAAGGGAAGGGGGGAGTGGCCCAGGACCTGAAGGGGCCAACGCCTCAGACGGGTGGGCTTCACCCTGGCTTACCACTTGTTAAGAATAAGAGGTGGAGGGACCACGCCTTCCTCCTGTTCCCCTGGCAGCAGCGACACCACCCCACTACCTCCTAACCTGGGGATCTGGCTCAGAAAACCCAGGCAAGAGAGGAAGGGAGGCTAGGAGGAAGAAGACCTCAGATTTTGCAAGCAGAAAGGTGGCTGGCCTCTGGCCTCCGACCTTGATTTAGGAGGCATCTGGGGCCATCTCCAAAGCAAGCATGGTTGGAGGGGGGAGGGACCCTGAGCAAAGAGGATGCTCCTGATGGCTGCGGGCTTTCCACCTTCCCATTCCTGAGCGAGGCCCAGGTTGGCCCCCCGTTGAGGCCGGAGGAGCACTCTGGCCCTAGTGGGCAGCAGCCGGTCATCTCTGTGGGTCACACAGGCCGTGCCAATCAGCTTCACTCTCGCATCGGGCCCGGCCATGGAAAAACTGCTTGATGAAATGCTGGGCCTCTTCCTTTACTACAGATTTGAGAAGGGGAACATGAGGGCCAGTCCCCTCCCCACCACCAAGCCCCGCAAATGCTCCCTGGCCTGGTGATGCAGGCACTCACCGCTCTTTCCGGGAGGAGTCTTCTGAGTCAGCGAGTGTGAGAGGTGGCGGGCGAAGGCTTTAAACAATTCCTGGAGGCGGAGGGTGGCGGGAGCAAAGGGTGCAGACCCCTGCCCTGCCCCCACCAGTGGCCCATAGCCATGACCCAAGGGCAAGGCGGACCCAGGGAAGCAGGCAGCCGGCCTTAGGACCTCGCCTGCTTCCGCCCCGCTTTGTCCTGGCTATAGGTAGGACCTGTCCTGCGCCCAGGTATCCCAGGCCCAGGAGAGGGCAGAATCCACCCACCTACCCTACCTTGGATGCAAACTTGCCCTCCTTGTAGAAAGGGGTCAAGCATTTGACCACAACATTTGCAGCCTCTTTGAGGGAGATGCCAGGGACTGGGAGAGGACAGGAGCCTTGGGCTGTAGGGCTCAAGGTGTTCTGATCGCTGGCCGAGATGCTGTCCTCAGCTTCAGCTAAGATGGAGGCGTTGGCTGAGAGGCAAGGCCTCTTCTGAGCCTGGTTCTCTGGGCTCTCCTGTGCAGGACCCAAATGGAGCATCACTCTCGGGCTCCCTGTCACGGCCCCTCCCCTCCTTCTGGAAGACTGGGCCTCAGCATCCGCTGGCTCCCTCCAGCCCAGCCCATCTAACTCTGGGATGTAAAAAGAGGGAATTTTCCCCAAATCCCTAACTGGGAGAACAGAGCAGACGCCCGCCTGGTCTATAGGCCTCCTCCCCTGTGGCCTCATCCCTGTCAGTACCTGCTGGGTTCTGGGCCGCTTGCCCGTGTGTGTCTCCTTTGTGGGGGTGGGCTGGCCTTCAGGGGACCCCTGGTTTCTGGGTGGGCAGGACCTGGCCAGGGAGGAGAGCAGGCGTCAAGGGCTCCAGGCACCAGCTGCACCCTCAGCTCAGCTGGCCCAGCAGAGCACACCCTGGCCAGGGCTTCAGCGATCCAGTTAGCAAAAGAGATTCCAAAGAATTTCAGAACTATCAGAGCCCTTACCTTGACCTCTCACTGGTGCACTCCTTGGTCTGGGGGGATGCAGCCAAACACCCCAGGGCTCCATCCTCCCCTGCACACTTCTCTGGGACTGCTGGGGGTCCCCGCATTCCCTCACGGGAAAGGCTGGCACCTCCTGTCCCTGGTGCTGAGGTGAGGGGAGACGGGCTCTTGGCCCTTTGGCAGAAGCGGGCGATGTTCTGAGAATCTTTGAGGGCTGCTGCGGCTAGGAGCTGTTGCTTCTTGCTGGTCCGGGCCTTGGCAAGGGGACCGCCCTTAGAGGGACTTGTCGCCTTCCTCTCAGGGGAGGACCCCCCACAATGAGCACTGCTTCCAGGGGCCTGTCCTCTGGGCCTCGGGAGGCACTCACTGCAGTCCTCACTCTGGAGGCTGCGGGGCTGGCTGGGGAGCTCCTGCTCACCTCCCAGCACAGGCTGGGGGGCTTGCTTCTCAGCCCGCGTCTTCTCCATCAGCTCAGTGGCCGTCTGGAATGGACAGGAGCCTTTGGGAAAACCAGCTCCCACTCGCTTGGGTTTCAGCTGTGAAGAAGAGGAGAGAGGGTTCTGACCACCAGGTCCTCGAGGACACTCACAGGCTGGTCTGGAATGGCTCTTGGGAGCGGAGGAGGGAGAAACCAGGCAGGACACTGCTAGGGGGTCAGGCTGATGAGAGAAGATATGTGGGGGCTGCAGAGGTACAGCTGGGAGGGCAGGGAGGCTGGAGGGCCTGCCCCAGGGTGCCTAGGGCCAGGGCTACGGCGCCCAGAGAGGGCCAGTGGCCATACTGTGGCTGAGGACAAGGGGAAGTGATGCCTTTCCCAGACCCAGGTTTGGGGTGGATGCCAGGACACCACTCACCGAGTACACTTGGGAGGCCGGCCGGATGTCATACTCGGTGGGCTCTGGGGGCTGGGCCTGGGCATTGTGACTTCTGGTGTCGCCTCCCACGTCATAGAGCTGCCCCTCCTTGGAGGCTCTGTGGATCTCGGCCACCTGAGTCATGGACAGGTAGGGATGCCGTGGCACCCACTAGCTCCTGAAAGCCCCAACCCAGGCTTTCCACAGGTGGGATTCTGGGGCCTGTGGCTGAAGGTCACTGGACACTGGACAAGTTCTAGTCCTCAAGGGGTTGGCTAGAAACATCTTCAGCTGGCAAAGACGGGAGGTCAGGCTCCCCTGTGTACGTGGCTGCCTTGCAGGGGGCAGGCAGACAGCCTGGGAAGGTAGAGGGGCCGCCTCTCCCACCCTAGCCCATAAGCATACCCTGCCTGGGCCCACCTTCTTTAGCACGCTGGCCTTGTACAGGTTGGCCACCTTGGCATTTCGGAACATCTCATATTCCAGCTCCACAGCCCTGGGCTGGAGATCGGGTCTGAGGGTAAGAATAAGCATAAGGCGTCAGGGGGGCCTGAGCCCTCTCTCTGTTGAGCTCCTGCTGGATTCCATCTGGGGACCCTGGAGATGGCTTCACGGCCTGGTGGGCTGGCCTTGGGCACAGGGATTCCAACCCCGACTCTGGGCACCCTGTGGCTTACTGCCCTTCAGCAGGCGCTAGCAGCCCCTTAGTCCTAGCTAAGCCTGCCCCCTGGTGGGGCAGTGAGACCTGTTGCCACTGGGAGCAGGATGCGTCACGACCCGGGGAGGGGGTAAGTAAGCCAGGAGGGATGGGGGCTCTTGTGGCCTGCAAAGGAACAAGGGCTCGGAGAAGCCTCCTAGGCCTCCGTGACCCGAGACACTCACCCATCGGCGGTCCCTGTGACCTGGCGATTACTGCTCAGAGCCTCTTCCAGAAGCCCCAGGCAGTGCTCACGGGCCTACACAGGGGAAGGAATTTTGTCACCCAAGCCTTAAGATTGGGGGAGGAGTCTGGGGGACAGAGTTGCCCACCTCTTACCTTCACAGTGAGCCTGGGGATCTTCTTGCTGGAAGCCTCTTTCAGGGGACAGTCCTCATCTGTGGGGAAGAGGGGTGGGTCACTGCACTCTACTTTCTGCTTTGTGGAGTCCCCAGCCCACCGTGAGGCATCTACACCCTGGGAACAGCCCCAAAGTCCCTGAGGACACTTCGGTACTGACCTGGAGGTACGAAGTCTTCTACCTTGGGGTCTTTGCCCTGGAAGGTGACATGAAGGGCCTATGAGGCATCTTGCTTGGCTGCAGGATGGCCCCCCATCCAGCACCAGGGTAGGGGCCGAAAGAGTGTGAACGGGGGGCCACTGGAGACCCCATCAGGCCCCCATCCCCTTCACCTTGCGTAGGCTCATCTGTCTTTGGTAGAAGAGATTCCATTCCCGCTTGTGGGCCTCGTCTCTGCCCTCGTCCCCACTGCCTCCAGACCCTTCGTCATACCTAGGGGACAGACTAGGCGTGAGCAGCCCTGGGCCTGGGCTCTTTCCTCCTGTCATGCCTCTCTAGCGGGGCACTGGTTGTCTCCGAGAGCCTGGCCTCCAGCAGCAGCATCAAGCTCCTGGCTCCACCACGGCCCCCAGGGGCAAGGGGTGAACTACAACATTGGGGCGCCTCTGGTCTGGCCTTGGCACGAGGAGGAGAATGCCAGCCTATCTGCAGTGGGTTGGGGGCCCCTGACTCCATGGCCCCTCACCTGCTGAAGCCCCCATAGCCCCGGCGGCCTCCCTCATACAGCTCAGGGTCAAAGCCATTCCCCTGGGAAGGCCCGATGCAAGTCTTGCTCCAGCTACTTCTGTGCTCCAAGGCTTCCAGCTGCTTCCGCAGGGCCACAGGGTTCCGGCAGTGGTCACAGCCCTTGGTGCAGGCAGGAGGCGCATCCCCAAAGTACTTGGCGATGGCAGCATGGCGGCACCTGGCAGAGGCAGCACAACAGAGGCAAGGGGTGAGGGACCCAGACAGGCCAGTGTTCACTCGCCCTCTCCCTAAACTCTGTCTGAGGAGCGCTACGTGCTGGGCACCACACTCAGCATCTCGTACGCCTCCTCTTGTGCGAGCCTGACAAGGCACCATTTAGTTGCCCATTTTATGGATGAGGACAATGAGGTGAAGTGTTCCCAAGGTCGTATAACATATGGGGGAATCCAGAGAAGACAGGGTGGGACCCCCACTCCGTCCTGCTTCTCTATGGCTTCCTCCCCTCGGTCCTGGCCTCCCGGTCTGTGCTCTGTCCTCTGACAGTGGGGTGCCCCGGGAATAGCTCCAGCTCTGGGTACAGATGCTGACTCTGCTGCTGAGGCTGC